AGGGTGGCTTCCAACTTGTGCATCAAAAAGGGAAGATCCGGGAAACTATATAACCTTCAATAATCTTGCACCTGGGAAAGAAGGATTATCCAGAATTATCGATGTTTCCCTGGCAAGAAGAGCCAAGTGAAATATCTTAAAATCTCGAAACCTGAGGCCTCCCATGTAGCGGGGCATATTCATGGTATCCCAAGAAACTCAAGACAGTTTCCTCCGTCCTTGCTTGCAGCCCCACGAAAAAGACCGAATTATTGATGTTAAATGTTCAAAGAGACCACGAGGCAACTTGAAGCACAACATTGAATAGACAGTAATTGCTTGTGCTACCAGTTTTACTAAAACATCCTTCCCTGCAGATGACATAATTTTCTCCATCCATCCATGAACTTTACTCCACAACTGGTCCTCAGATACTTTAAGGCACCTTTTTTTTGAATTTTCCACATCTGATGGCATACCAAGATAGTTCTCACTCAGTTTCTCGTTCTGGACTCGCAACACATTCTTAACAATCAATGTTTCATTTACTAGACAACCTTTGCTAAAGAAAACAGAAAACTTCTCTTTATTCACCCTCTGGCCAGAAGCCTTGGCATATGACTTCAATAAGTGATACACTTTCTTATCGGACACGGCGTTTTGGTGCTCCGGCGTAGCTGATCCCTAAATCTTTCTGTTGGTTCGCTTCTGGGGATTGAAAAAAAAGCGGTCTGACAGGTCTGCATTGAGGCGTTGATAAATCGATATACGGCTGTGCAGCGTAGCGAACAGTTGGTGGTTGTGGGCCCGAATCGTACGTGCGCACGTCCGTCCCGACGGATTAAGAAGCTGGTCCGTGGCCCAGATTAGTCACTGCTGAGCCGTGACCAGGGTCTGGTACAGAAACGCGTGTCTCCTTATCCGTCTGGAAAACATGTCGAGGGCTTCGGGACGGGTGGTTTGACGAGCAATGAGATCGAGCGCTGGCGGGGAGGTACCTCACAGTAATGGCGGGCGCGGCGGAGGATGCCGATGGTTTGGAGTTCCTATTGGAGCTAGTTGACCGGTGAGTTTCTCTACCGCACCTCTGGATTTTCGTGCTTCGATGGATTTCCCGATTCCCCGCCGCCGCTGCTTACTCTGTTGTGGTTTTCAAGGTTCCCATTCAGGGAAGAGTTCACCGACAGCTTGGAGCAGCCAAATCCGGACACTCTAGGGTTCCTCCGACCGTCCATGGCCACTGGGCTGCATCGCCGCCGATGCCGTTGCCACCGCCCCGTCGCCGTCGACCCCGACACCACCGCTGCTCTCTACATCTCAGTCTCGCCGGGGCTCCTCTCTGCCTTGGTCCCCTCTACTGGACAGCTGCTCGGCGGTGTGGTCTTTCTCCTATACTGGTTGGCGGCATCTCGTTCTCCGGCACTAACAAGTAACAAGTCCATGGCCCCATGGTTCTGCACGAGATCTCTAGTCCGGCATCCTCCACCAGACACCACGGGTAACTAATCTAGTTCCCTAATCTTCTTTTCCGTAGATTCATGATCCAGAGTGTTGATGCTTGTTGTGAGATTTCCTAGATTTCTATAATGTTGATCTTTAATCTCTACTTTTAATGAAACAGTTGGTGAATAGTCTGCGCGGTTTATTTTAACTGATTTTTTCGTTATCCTCCCACCTTCGGTTTTTTGTCATCCTCCCACCTCCGTTAACTCCCAACCCACCCGTGAAAAAAAACCGTGCCAAAAAACCCTACGATCGATGCCTCCAACCCCCAACCTCCTCCCTGGCTCCCGGCGCCGCCCGCCCCCATCTCCTCCCCGATCCCGGCACCGCCCGCCCCCATCTCCTCCCTCACTCTCGGTGCCGACCCCGCCCGCCCCCATCTCCTCCCTCCCTCCCGGCGACGCCCCACCAGATCCTTCGCCGTCGCCCTCGCGCATCAAGCCGCCGCCCTCGCCCTCGCAGCCGCCGCCGATCC